TATATATATATATATATATATATATATATATATATAAATATAAATATAAATATAAATAATATTATATAATATGTAAGCAAGCATACTGCTTACCAGGAACATGGTATAAAAATACATTTTAATTGCAAGTCATCAGGACAAGATGCCAATACAGCCATTTTAATCACCTGCAGAAAAAGGACAAAAAATGATTAAAACATTATCAGGCTTGAATATACTTAAGATATAGTATATTTAATGTTTTTTTTTGATTATTATGGGGAAAATATGCATGGAAGGCAAAGGAAATGGACCTTACATCTAACTGTATTTAGACTTAAAATAAACAGAAATTATTGCAACAGAAGTGGTGATGGTATTGATAGATAAGGTCCCATAAATTTGCCTACTCAATTTCAACTTCGACAGGAATATTTCTAGTGGAATAATCATAGCAACAAAAAAATTAATGCCCTATTGGGCATGCTTTTAAGTTTGAAAAATAGCCACTAATATTTAAAAAATGACAGCCGAAGAGCTTTTCTTGTGTTTAGAGATAAACATTTATTCCAAAAACCATCTGCAGTGAAAAAGGCCAGGATGGCCTCAGTATTACCAGTCTATGAAATGGGTCTATGCTGTTGACATTCTCAAACCTCTACTGCGTTCATTAAAAAAAAAATGGAGTAGGAATATATTACTGGGCTTATGAAAGACAGCCTTGCAAGACGACATAGGCTTAACTTGAGGTTATATTTTCTGAACCAATCACCATTCAACTGCAAACCAATTAGATGGGAAGATGCTCAACACCCAGAAAAACCGAAGAACTAAACCAGGATTAACTGTAGGCTTAACTTGTGGTTATGTTCCTGAAACAACCCTGCTTCTGATTGGCGCTTGTCATTCAACTGCAAACCAATCAGATGGGTAGGTCTGCTCAACGCCCAGAAAAGGAAAGAATTAAATCAGGGTTAACACCCCAAAAAGGAAAGAATTAAACCAAGGTTAACTGTAGGCTTAACTTGAAGTTATGTTCCTGAACCAATCCTGCTTCTGATTGGCACTCGACATTAAATTGCAAACCAATCAGATGGATAGGTCTGCTCAACGCCCGGAAAAGGAAAGAATTAAACCAGGGTTAACACCCAGAAAAAGGAAAGAATTAAACCAGGGTTAACACCCAGAAAAGGAAAGAATTAAACCAGGGTTAACACCCAGAAAAAGAAAGAATTAAACCAGGGTTAACACCCAGAAAAAGAAAGAACTAAACCAGGGTTAACACCCAGAAAAAAAGAAAGAATTAAACTAGGGTTAACATCCCCAAAAGGAAAGAATTAAACCAGGGTTAACAACCAGAAAAAGAAAGAATTAAACCAGGGTTAACACCCCCCAAAAGGAAAGAATTAAACCAGGGTTAACCTAAACCAACTGAGTTTGGCTCCTAACCCTGCTGTCTTTTCTGGTATCATCTCTCAGCTCCTTGGGTATGGGCTGGTAGTGGACCATGGGTAGTGGCTGCTTCTTCTCCTCAACCTTTTTGGCCTTTGCAGAGATCCCATAGGGGCGCAGCAGCTCTCCTTTCGGAAGCCAACACCTCTCCGTGTTGGGTGGGGGGGACAGAGGGAGGGGAGGGAAGAGAAGCAGCGGCGGCACCCTGGTCTGCAAAGAGAACCGATCTCTTGGCATTCACCGCGTGCCTTAATTGTATGGACATTAAATCAAGGTCCGCTGTGAACACGCAGAGAAGGGCCCAGGAGGGGTGGGCGAGCGAGCTAAGAGACGCGCATTCAGACATGGGTTGAGGGGGGGGGGGAGGAGAGGGAGGTGCAATAGAGGAGAAAGCCCGAACCAGGTTGGGTTAGGTCTGATCCCATTCATCCATTTACACACGCGCACCCCAAGAGCCCGCATTTGCTTGCACACCAAGGCAGAAAGGACACGGACGCTTTCTTAGGGCGAATGCCAGCTTAAACCACAACTGTGCGGAAGAAGAAGAAGGAAGAAAGCACCCACCTTGGCACAACCCTCACGCGCCCTGCAGAAATCCACGCGCCGTCCTAACACACACACACACACACACACACACACACACAGACCGCCCCCCCCCCCGCGCGCTATTGCGCTTGGCGTAAAGCCGTTGGAGCTTCAAGCGGCTCCTTCCTTCCTCGCGATCCCTCGTCCCACTCGATTCCAGGTGCAGATCCCCCCCCACCCCCCTACCCTCCACCAAATAGGCTGCAGCCGCCCGAAATAGGCAGCGGGTCCCTTCACGCCCACCGCCTCGGCGCACACTCGCGATGGCTCACTTCCTCACACCCACAGAGGGCAGCACAGCTTAATCACATGCGGCGATAATCACACATTACACCTTCCCCATACGCCACTGCAGTGTGCGCGCGATACAACCCTCGCACTGCAGCCCCCCTCATCGCCGTCCCCAGATGAAGATGGCTTCCTCCGGGTTCTTTTTTTTTGGGGGGGGGGGAGAAGGCACAATGTCCAGGCTGACCCCCCAATAGGTGCAATCTGACCCACGCATGAAAGAAAGAAAGAAAGAAAGAAAGAAAGGAGAGAGAGAGAGAGAGAGAGAGAGAGAGAGAGAGGCTGGAAGGAAGGAAGAAAGAAAGAAAGAAAGAAAGAAAGAAAGGAGAGAGAGAGAGAGAGAGAGAGAGAGAGAGAGAAGCTGGAAGGAAGGAA